GCAAGTCAGGCGGCCAGTTCGTCCGTACAGGCCCTCATGTTATTGGCTCAGCCCAGTACATGCCCCAGATGCCGTAAAGGCCGTCTGCCCAGCCTTACATGCAGGCGACTCTCTTTGGGGGTCAGGCGGCATATAGCGTCCAGCTTCTAGACTGGTAGCTCCGTCTGCTGAAACTTGGGGAACAATCTTCTGCTTTCACCAAAGAGATAACCGAGGTGGCACAGCCGGCCAAGGTTAAAAATGTTTTGGTAGGTACCTATGATGGTGTACCACCAACCTTGAAGACCACCTCATGGCCTACACCAACCTCATGTACTTGCAGGGGTTGGATGATGCCACCTGGTGTCAATGCTTCCCGGCTACATTGAAGGACATTACCCAACAATGGTTCGGCAATTTGCTGGCTGGCTGTATCAATAGCTTCAAGAACCTTGTGTTCTTGTTTGCTTCTAACTTCTCTATGACTTTCTGTGCCAAGCTAAGAAAACAAGCTTCGATTTGAGTGCGGTACAGCAGGGGGATAGAGAAGGGCTTCGGTCATACGTCAGGCGGTTCAATCTGATGAGAATCCAGATTCAAGGGCTGTCCGACGATGTGGCTTATACAGACTTTTTCAAAGGTTTAAAGGACGGGTCAACTTTTAAGTTTGACCTCGTGAGGAAGAGGGTTGCCACCCTCCAAGAGGCGCTGATGGAGACGGAAGCCTATATACAGGTGATCGAGCTCTGCTCCACCAGCAAGCAGTCAGACTCAAAGAAGTCTGACCAACAAAAAGAGAGTCGGCAAGCTCAAACGGCTTAGAATGCTGAAGAGCAGCAAGAAAAGAAGAGATCTGGGGGGTTGACAATTCTGATCAGCCGTCCTAGAAGAAAAAAAAGAGTTTAAACTGTACGTTCCAAGGTACGAGTTTAACAATGACCGCTACTCCATCCTCATGGAGATAAAAGACCGGGTGACCATAGAGAAGCCCGCTGCAATGAAAGGTTCCGCCCAAAACCGGAACAAAAACAAGTATTGCCACTTCCATGAGGATATTGGCCACGACACTAACGACTACAATAGCCTCAAGCGGCTGTTGGACCGTCTGACTGATAAAGGGGTGTTGAAGTCTTACATACTCAAGTCCAAGGTGACCCTGAAGACAAACCTAGGGCAGTCGTCTAAAAAGGCTGCCCAGCCTACTAGTAGTTCGGACACTAACAAAGAGCCGAACTACACAATAGCAGGCAGCTTTGCCGGAAGGGGCCCAACCATCCGGGGCACCAAGGACCATGTGAGACGGCTGGATGTCAGTTCAGTTGATGAGGGCCAGGCGTCCACTGACACATTCCCTGAGGTCATCATCACTGAAAAGGACAGGGGCAAGGTCTGTCAGCCGCATGAAGACCCCATTGTCATTGAGTGCAAGGTGGCCAACCAGAAGGTCAGCCATATCCTCATTGACATCGGAAGCTCGTTAGACATCATCGGCTATAAGTGCTTGTCCAAGCTGAAGTACAATCCCGGCAGCATGCACAAGGTTACTCACCCCTTGGCTTGTTTTGGGGGTGGGGTTGTGCACCCAGTCGGTCGGATTGACCTACCTATTCGGCCGGGGGAGAAAGGATAGGGACGCCATATGGTAGTCCAGTTCTTGGTTGTGGAGGAGCTGACCGCCTATAATCTCATCTTGGGTCGTCCGACTCTAAACGAATCCAAGGCTGTCATTATCCCATCCCTCATGCTGCTAAAGTTCGAAAGGGATGACGGTTATGTTGTCTCCCTAAACGGAGATCAGAAGACGGCTAGAGAGTGCTACCTCTCAGACGTTAAGCCCACGGTGGCCGCAGCCGGCCAGGGTGAGGAGCCAATAGACCTTGACGATGTCAAGGAAGCCGAGCCTGCTCCACCAGCAGCCGGCAAAAAGAGAAAGGCCGACCAGTTGGTGGCCGTGAAGAAGGAAAAACAATATCAATCACTGACCGAGGAACGGTCAGATAAACTCCATCCCCAGCCTGCTGGTGAACACATTGATATTGCTCTGGACGATGCACGTCCGGAGTGTACTGTTAAGGTGGGGACGTTTGCTTTTGCGAAGCTGGGTATAAACTTGCACAACCTCCCGAAGGAGTTCAAAGACATCTTTGCCTTTGAAGTGGAAGAGATGCTAGGCATTAGCCCGGATTTAGCTGTCCACAAACTCACCATGGGTCCTAAAAGAAGCCTGTCAGGCAAAAGAAAAGAAATCACGGCATGGAGAGGAGTCAGGCAGCAGCCGCCGAAGTAAAAAAGTTGTTAGACGCCAGGTTCATTTGACAATGTCACTTCCCAGATTGGGTTGCGAATGTTGTGCTTGTAAAGAAGCCGAATGGTACCTGGCGCATGTTCCATCTCTTGCTCATCCAGCATATCAAACTCCCCAGCCGGTGTGACCTCATCAGATGGCACTTCTAAAGTGCCCCTTCTACATCTTGGCTTTGTAGCCGTCTGTTTGACCCTCGCCATTGTGTCCTGCACAGACACAAAGAGGTCGGATTTTAGGATGAACAAGGTGGCCTAGACACCTAGAGTAGGCAACCCCAGTCCTATACTCAGCCGTACCAGGAGAACGGCTGACTATTGACCTAGGCTGTGCCGTGTGTGCTGATGGTGAATCCATTTATTGAACGAAATATGCACAAACGGAAAAAATATGAAAGAGCTAAGAGGGGAAGAGACGGTACCTTAAGATTTGTTTCTTGAAAAGGTGTCAAGTGTTGGCCCGCTGTAACAGACGGGCAGAAGATCAGACAGCTATTTGTGAATGATACAGACGGTTGTCAGACTTTCTCTCTCTAGAACTTCTTAACTTTCTCTCTCTAGACTTTTTTGGAAACGTCCAAAATAGGGGGGGTAAAAGTCATATTTATAGAGGGGTAAATTCAGGGGCAACTTTGTAATTTCCCCTAAAGGTGAACAATTAAAACTGAGTGGCTGAGTGACAAGTGTCACAGATGCCACGTGGCACGCCACGTCACACCTGCGAGGGGCAAATGTTTAAGGTAAAATTACCCAGGCCACGTGGCCCTATCAGAAGGTGACACGTGTCACCCTAGGAGAGGTTCAAAGTGGACCTATCTTCATTTGACACGTGTCGCTCCCAAATATATGGGAAAAAGGCGGCCTTCATGGCACAAGTCCCGAGAAAGCCGTAAAACAGCGTAGCCCAATCATTCCTAGGTTTCCGTAACCTAGGAAAAGGGCACAAATCCCGGTGACCCTATAAATAGGGAGATTCCCCCCATTTAGAGGGCACGTTCGTTTATTACACACAATCAATTCTCTCACATCAGAGAAATCACCTGATCTCGAAATCCGAGAAGATCTCACTTTACCTTTTCAGCACCTTTTTACATTCTGCGAACCCATTCTAACTTGATCGTCGTCGGCAGAACTCCAACCACCCGGAGTTTTCGTTGTTTTGCAGGTACAGGCGCCTAGAATCCAGTCTTGGTGACGTAACTCTCCCAAGGGACCAGAAAAACCCCAAAACAGATAGGATTAAATGTTATTATATCATCAGATTATTAACAATGTCTATTTTCATAATTTAATTTTGTTACAATCTTTAATGAACAATAAAAATTAATGGCCAAAGTTCGTTGCGTCTCAGTAAATGTACCGGTCAAATTGATACCATTAAAAAAACAGAAGGAGTAAAAGAATAGGTAAACCGTAAACAGACAAATTAATTGAAATAATGTAACTACCAATAAGAAAAAAGTGTTAAATTGTATTGTTAAATTTATGGCTTAATAAGTCTATTTATCTTTTCTATTCACTTTCTCAATAGCATGGCAAGGTGTGATGCAAGTATATAACAAATTATTATTATTTTTTTCTTTAAAGCTCTAGCCACTAGCATAATTTGTTACATTCTCTTTTCAGGCAATTGTTAAGGGGTATTTAAGAAACAGAGTGGAGATCTATTGTCAATATTTCCTTTTGATGTTTGTTATACCATTAGTCATTTCCTTTGCCCTTTCTAATCCTCCACTTTCTTTTATCATGATTCCTCAACCCTTCCCTCCAAAGGAATCATCAAGAATTTCAAGCATCTTCCTACAAGTTTTGAGACATGCGTATTTTTTAGATTTTGAATGAGTCTCCACCATGATTTTATGTATATTTCATAAACCACAATAATGACTCCTTTTGAATATATATAAGACCACATCAGCATGCGTGGGTCTTTGAAACCACGAGTTTGAATCCAGAGCGATTGACTACTTTTGAACGATTTAGTGTACTTTGCAAAGTATTTCAATAAGCATATAAACGTTTTTGTACATACATGAAAATTGGTGATCTTTTGAATTATCAAATTGAAGGTAGTCGCATAGAATTAGTTAAGTTACATTACGCAAGGGTCACTACCAAAAAAAAAAGTGCATTTTAACGACAACCAGGTTATACCGTTGGTAATTTAATAGCCGTCAGAAATTAATGACTGATCATACTAACTGCCAAACTATTTGTAAAAAAAACTACCGATGGTTTCAGTGAAATTTTACTTATGGTCGGTCAAACCATTGTTATCTTAGTACCGACGGTTTAAATTTGAACTTAACAACAAATGTTATATATTATGACGGCCATTTACCAATAGTACGTATTTCATACAATTATTGACAATTCATTAGAGCCGTGGATAAATGCTTGTTTTCTTGTTGTGGTTTAGTCCAACCAAGTAGAGAGTGTTTAGGAGGGAGAGATGCCTAATTACTATTACAAGGTTTTGAGATTAAGTCACAACCCCTTGAAATAATAATAAAAACTTGAATAAAACAAGGGGAAATTCCCTATTGCTCATATGGAGAAACAAAGTTTGTTTCTCATGGGGGCAAAATTGTAAATCCACCAGTTATAAGTCATATGCTGGAATGTGAGGTGTCTTAATTGGTTTGCCAGCTGTACCTGGCTACATCTCACAATTAACGGCGTTAAATTTCCACGTTTATGTAATTTTAAAGTTTAAAAAAACGAAATAGAGGAACTCAACTTGTTTTCTAGGAGAAACTCAAGTAGAAGGTCCAACTGAATTTCTGGAGGTCTAAAGAAGGTAATTAAACTTGATCTAGCGGAGGGGTGTGATTTGAACTTGAACCAATGGAGGCCTGTGATTCAACTCGAAGAAGAGTGTTCCATTTCGATCCAACGGAGGTAAGTGATTTCCTTTAGTTTGTCATCGTACAAACAAGTAGTTCAATTGATTGGCCTTGTTGGGACGAATTTAGGTATTCTTGACTGGGGTTGGTGTTGAATTTTTATGTGACATTATGTGTCATCGGTAATTCGTGAAATCCCAATAGAATTGTTTTGTTTGTACTCAACTCTGTTGTAATTTGGCTTTTTTGAGTAATTGATTTGAATTTTATTATTTGGATTAATGACAAATCGATTTTAGGGTAAATTGTTGTCTGGTATTGAATGATAGTTATTGTAAAACCTTAGTTGTGTTTTTTTCTGCTGTTTTGGGGAGACCCTACTCATGTAATTGGTTGTCAATTTGCCTATATAGGTAGTAGTACCAATGTCAATCAAGCGTAGACGTTTAGTTGATGAAAATGCGGTGAGCAGTTGTCCATCATCGATATTTAATGGTTGAATAAATTGAGATGTTTATGCATTTGAGTGATTAATGGCTGTTAAACCTTGTAGGTTGGACAGGAGGATGGATATATATTGAAGAATAAGGTATTATGTAATAATCAGGTTTTAGTTTCATTATGTGCGATTCTGTGCTCAACATATTGTTGTTGAATGAGCGCAGGAAGTTGCCAAAGCCATGGAAAAAACAAATGATTTGTATCCTGCAATGTTTAAGGTAGTAATTAAAGTGTTTAGCAATAAATTATGTTTCCCAGTGAACACGAGTATTGCTAAATTGTTGTAATCTTATTTATTGTAGGATGATAGATTAACTTATGGTGAAGTTGTGAAAGGCAAATCAGAGGTCTTGATGGAACATTCCAAGGGTAGTAGGAGGGTAACTTTCATTGTAGCGCCTTTGGTAGAAATGTTTTTGTTTCTAGATTATTGTTACCATGCTTTGTAGTTATTGGTATGTAATGAGACAGCCTCCGAACACGAGTTGCCGGATTGAGTCATTTAGGCGCAGTTGTCGAAAATTTGATGACCGGCGAAAATGTTGGGTGGTTGAGATGGGTTTTGGTGGTCTATTACATGTTTCTTTTGATATGCAATTACCTAGACAGTTGGCTTATTGGATAATGACTCGTATAGATCCGATAAGTAAAATGTGCGTTTCCTGTACCAATAAAAATATTTGCAATACGAATTTTTGTAAATCAAGTTAAATGGGGAAAAAAAAAAAATATTGTAATACATGTAAATTAAATTATTTGTTGCATTTCACAAATTAAAAAAAATTGCAATACATGACCTTGATGTTGGGTTGAAAAGAACAAAATTTGTCATTCGTTATTTTGAAAGTGGGCCGGCCCACTTAACACTAAAAAGGAAGCCTGCGGTTTTTGCTTGTAGTAAAGTTGTTATCTTAATTTGAGTAAATATTTTCTCGTTTTTGGACTTTTAATTTTTCATTTTTTTTAATTTTTAATATTATTTAAGTCAATTTCTAATTTATATGTTGAGTATTTAGTGCGTTACCAACAATAAAAATATTTGCAATACGAATATTTGTAAAATGTGTAAAATGGGCAATAAATAAAATTGCAATTTCATTACATTTAATTATTTAATGCCTTTACCAATTTAAAAAACAAAATTAACTGTGTTTGAAATATTGAATTTAAAGTGGGCCGGCCCAGTTTACACGAGAAAGGAAAGCCTACAGTTTTTGCTTATAAAAAAGCTGAGACCTTTATGTGGGTAAATATTTTCCCGTTTCCGTGTTTTGGTTTGTCCATTGGATATAAGGGTGTAAGTGAATAGCTGGCGATTTGTTTAAATTGCTATTTCGTCTTATGTGGCGGGGCTCTATGAAGAGAAAATCAAGTAGTATCCCTTAAATTAATGAAAGTATATGATTCTTTTCAATTCTTATCCCTAAAGATGGTTAAATTGCAGCGTGCTTTTACTCTCTTGGCATTCTTTTGGCGTAGGAGCAATCACAAACCATAAAAATCTCTGTAAAAAGGAAATTTGGAAAACACTTTAACTGATAATCTGCAAAAAGGATAAGTTCGAATCATAGTAACTGAATACCCCCTACAACTCTATCGTTACCCCCTAACTAATATATCACTTACAACATTTGTAATATCACATCTGTAGGTGATTCCATGCAATTCATTCTATGAATATTAAGTTTGAATAACTTCACATAAATTTGATAACTTTTAACTATTTGAATTTATAAAAATAAGATCATCAACACTTTTGGACTTTATAGATATTTGAACATATATAACAATAACATTAGGTAAAGTCATACTACCATATAATTTTTCGTTGTTGTCCACTTCACATACATATAACAACAAATAAACTTAATAAACCAAATAAAATTCATACACGAAATAAACTTAATAGTAGAATGTAATTAGAAATTCGGGCCAACACAAGCCGACCTTTAGGACTACAATAACACATCTCACGTTAAGTAACACATAAATTTAATTTGGTTTAGTGGTACGGAAAATGTCTACATTCGTACTAATCAGTCATTGTATGTAGGGTCTTCTTCTTCGAGGTTCTGATTGGTAAACCATATAGTTCGTTCTCGTCCTCGTCACTTCTTGCATCTTCAGGTACATAAATTGATTCTGAAACTAGTTCGGGGTACATGGACAAAGTAACCTTTGGTTGTGTTACACATTTGCATTTCAAAAAAAATATTACATTCATTAGACAAAGGCATGAGAATTATTCTAGAATGTTAATGCGTAATGTTACTATTGGACAAGGAAGAAAAAATACGAAATAACATTAAAGGCAAATAACAATTTGCTGAGGTAACTAACATAATAACAACGTTTTTTTAATGAAATGGTTTTAAAATTTGCTGTCATACTTGCTTCCATAGGTCGTTCCGTACTCGGGACTAGAGCACAATTCATCATGAAGACGACCCAGACTAAGTTGATTAATCTCTGTCAAATCCTAATCATTGTAGTAGTAAAGATTATCGTTGAAGTCCATTTCCGGTTCATTTTGTGATTTGACCCAATTAAATTACATAATCGGTCTATTAGGGTGGTACCAAGGTTGAATATTAGAAGGTAAAATTTGTAACTTAGCAATTTGTTTGGTGATGTTCATTAGGGTTCGGTTTCTAGAATTCATGGAAGATATGGAGTTGTTTGAAGGTAGTGTTCTTGGAGGCTGTATGAGTTACAGTAATAGTAAAAGTGGTATAACTGTAAAAGAAAAATACAATTAAATACGAATGATAAATGGAGAAAAAGAAACTGTAAATGAATATGGATGATAAATGGAGTAACAAGATAATTCAGTATGGTAACGGTAAAACATCAATTATTGTGGTAAAAAATTTGGGATATATAAAAAAAATTATAAAACAAAAAATTTGGGATGTATAAAAAAAAATATAAAACAAAAAAACAATTCTAAGCACTCAATGGGGTATTAAAGATAAAACATCAATTACTGTGGTAAAAAACTAAATTGCTAATGTGGTTGTTAAATAAGAAGATGATAATGTAACAATCCCAAATCTCCCTCTACGTAAATACCATAATTATACGTATACAAATACCGTAGAGATAAATTTGGGCATATTACCGCCACGTGAAAACGTAAGGCTTATTTAGTTACTCAAAAATAGCAACGGAAAATAACAGACTTTTTTTTAATAAAATGAATAACCACAATAACTATTTCAAAATACTCCAATTAAACTTGTCCACTCATAAATAAAATCCTAACTATGTGATCCCAGTCCCGACTCAAGCATGCTCACGAACAACTACACACCTGATGTTTCGGGGTTTTCAGATGTCCTGCGGGAGAGTTACAATTCCGAGACTGGAACCGGACGCCTATACTTGCAAAACAAACGGAGACTCCGGGTGGTTGGAGCTCTGCCTCCGACGGTCAAGTTAGTACTTGTTTAAGGAGTAATTAATGCGGAAAGGTAAAGTGTTTTTCTCTAGGTGAGAGTAATTAATGATCGTAATCCCCTTTAATGAGGATTAATGAACATATTTATATGCCTTGGGATGCGTGCCAAATCCTAGGTTTAGGGTAAACCTAAGGCTGACTGGGCTTTTTCCAAGGATTGGGCCTAGGTGGCCGGTTTTCCCATGTGTCATGGGAAAGACACGTGTCTGTCGCAACTGGTCCATGGTGGACGAATCTATGATTGACACATGGCAGGCTCCTATAGGCCCATGTGGCGGACACATGGTGGAACCTGATTGGTCCACTTGTCAGATGGTGATTGGTAGGGAAAAATCCCCTAATCATTTGCCCCTCACAGGTGGCACGTGACTGTTCACATGTCACCTGTGACAGGTGTCGGCCTGTAACAGGCGACGGCTTGCTACAGGTGTCGCTTGGTGGATGGCCGAAGGTTTTTCCCGCTCAATTTTGAATTTTTGGAGACGACCCGTCGACTTCTCTTTTGCCCTATATAAAGGGATGTTGACCAAGTCATTTGTTCACATTTGCGAACTTTTTCAAGAGAACTCTCGGACCCCTGAACTTGAGCTCTGACACTTTGCAACTTCTGACCTGCCAGGACGACTGTTTTACTAGGCGCCTACTTCGATCAAGCTTTTTTCAGAACTTAAGTTTCAGGTAATCGTCTGTTCCTTTATTCTTCTTTGCTTTTGTACTTTTTCTTTCTTTTTTGAAAATGAGACCTCAAAAGCATCCGGCACGACCCTAGGTTAGCAATCAGCCGGTCACCGGGGATGGCTGAGTCTAGGACTAGGGGTGCCGACTGCCCTGCGATAATTCAAACTTTACACAAGTCCCGGAATCCAACTGTCTTTGTATCTATGCAGGACAGTATGGCAAGAACAAAGAAAACCAAGAGAATAGAAAACTCTGATGGCTCCTCTTTCTGGGTTCCGATTAGTGAAACATCGGACCAGCCGCCTGATACTGCAGGGACCCAAGGCGACCCTTCTGCCGAGAGCTCTGAGGAGGGAGCTAAGGTAGTTCCTTCCCATTTCACTGTTGACCTGGCCAATCGGCAGGTGACCCCCGAAGAACAAGAGGTGTCGGCCCCTTCAGGAAATGGGGAAGAGTCGGACTCCTCTGATAGTGAGTCCGGCTCTAGTTCGTCGAGCCGCCTCTCTATAAGCTCAGAAGAGAGGCACAATTGATTGCATGAGGCGAGAGACTCTCATGCGGCTGAAAAGGGGGAAGGCTGGTCGGAGCCATCCGCCTCTCATAGGGAGTTGAACACTCCATATTATTGCCACGTTCCCAAGGGCCTAATCAAGGCCATGAAGGAGCGAAAGAGACTTTCCTTTCGGACCACACAATGGGTCCGAATTATCAAATATTTGTGCCGGATGGTGAGGACACCGTCGTCTGGCCTGAGGGCTCCAGTTATGGGGATGCCTGTTTTGGCTGTTACGAGGCGGTCATCAAGGCTGGATTGCGATTTCGTTTGCATCCGGCTGTTCATCAAATCCTTGATGGGTTCGAGGTGGGGCTTTGGCAATTGGCCCCTAACTCCTGGTTCAACATCCTGGGCTATGTAGCCGGATGTGAAATGCACGGGGTAGAGCCGAACTTTAAGGCGTTCGCTCACATGAACTACCTCAGCCGGACCCCCAAAGCAAGCGGTACCGGCTGGTACCAAATAACGAGCCACAAGGGCTACCTTATGACCAAGGGCAAAGAGAACAAATGGAAGGATTGGAGAAACACCTTCCTCATTATTTCCAGTCCCGACCATCTGTTGAACAAACGCTACAATAGGTGGAACAAAGACCCACCTCTTCTAGCAGGCAGTCGCAGCATGCCGCTTGTTCCCCTCAAGGCCAGGGAAGAGATCCTGGACCAAGGGTTGTTCAAGGTAGAGATTAGGGCAAACTCTACCACTGGGTTACGAGAGCAGGTGCCCTTAAAATGCATCCCAGAGTTTCAATGGCTCTATGACAAGTTTTTCCTGGCCGCTTGTGGCCTTAGCAGTCGGTCCTCCAGAGGTAGTCGGCCACTTGAAAATATATACCCTTCATTTTGATTTGTTTGAAAATTTTTCTAACTTTTGTGGTTCTTATTTGTAGCTGAAGCCATGGACCAAATCACTGCTTCCAAGAAGGCGGCCG